TATATTATATATTTATTTATAAATACACCTACACGGAGCTTATTTCCTCTCCCCGCAAAGGGGTGAGCCCCAACGCCGTTTCTGGGCTGGAGCGGTGTCCTAGAGGAGCAAATATTTGGAGGGGTTTTCCTTCTCTTTCTCCCCCCAGCCCCCACAATTAATTCCGCTAACAGGGACATATCCCTGCAACTAATTCCTCTGCTGTTTTAGGAAGGGACCGGCCCTTGCTGGAGCCCGCGGTCACCCGGGGAGGAAGGCGACGAGCAGGAAAAGCGGTATATTTGAAAGGATTTTCCTTCTCTTTCTCCCCCCAGCCCCCACAATTAATTCCGCTAACAGGGACATATCCCTGCAACTAATTCCTCTGCTGTTTTAGGAAGGGACCGGCCCTTGCTGGAGCCCGCGGTCACCCGGGGAGGAAGGCGACGAGCAGGAAAAGCGGTGTCTTCGCCGGCTGCAAGGTGATTTCCTTCGTCAGGTGTCCCCGCCGGCGTTAAGCGTTTTAAAACGTGGAGGGTCCTCATTAGCCCCACGCAGTGGGACGCTGCTGTACAGCTTTCCATTTTTGCCGGTGGATGGTTCTATCTTTCTGTGATTTTTCGCAGATGTAGAGACTCAAATCACATCTGAAAGTGATTTTTTTATTATTATTTTTATTTTTTACTTTACCTTGACTGGGTAATACCTGGTCAGCACTGTCTTGGCTAAGCGGGGAAAGGTATCCAGCCTGAATGGACAGGGCAACATTTGCCTGTTCCACTGCCTTTTTTCGTGACTACAGCGCTTCATCTCACGCTGCGTCCTGCCTCCCGACAGGACACGTTGACTTTATTGAAAAGGTAGAATCATTCACTTACTCAGACTTTTTCCGGGATTATTTGATTCCCAACCGTCCCTGTATTTTCTCAGCTAAATTCACTGAAGGCTGGGGCAGCAGGAGAAATTGGGTTACTTGGGATGGGAAGCCTAACTTCGATTATCTGTTGCAGAAGTTTGGTAAGTTGTGACTTTTTTTACTATTAAATTGAAACATGTATGCTAAATGCCAGTGAACTTTTTTGTAGCAAAGCCCAACTAATTTCTCTAGACTTTTTTCTGGGTTGCCACATTCATTTTGTGTACTTACTCATACTTTTTGTTTCACTTGGATTCCAGTCTTTAGTTTATTCCAGTAATGAAATAAAATAAAACCATAATATTAATCTAACTGTACCAATTTATGTGCCTGCTTAATTTTAACCAAAGGAGCAGTCCTGTAGGCCACAAGAATTGAATGGGCAAGGGGAAAGTATTCTTTAGATACAGGGAAATATCACAGAGTATATCTTCACGCTGTAAAACATTATTTTGTTTCATAGGAATGAATACCCAATTCCACATGTAGTTTGATAAGAAGAAATTGCAGGTCACAAAAAATTGATGGCTTTGTAGACTGGTCTGAATCATGCTCGCCTAGAATGGTGATGTCGGGAGTGAGGGCTGGGCAAGGGATTGTTGCCTTGTGTGTTTGTGCTTCAACATGATAGTAGTGTTCACCTATTACAGGCCGCTACAGCGTATAAGGTTAAACAAGTTCAGTTTCAGCACCAATTATTCTGTTTCCGCATGCATTCAAAAAGTTTATCTTTCAGGAGAGGCTATAGTACCTGTTGCCAACTGTGATGTCAAGGAGTACAACTCTAACCCAAAGGAGCAGATACATTTCAAGGAGTACATAAATTACTGGAAAGAGTACATTAAAAATGACTACCGTTCACCCCGAGGGTGCCTTTATCTGAAGGACTGGCACCTGAGCAGGTAAGAGAGCACCCTGCAATCCTCTGCGGGCCACAGACAGTGGAGAGCTGCTGCAGGGCAGCTCATCTTTTAATGTCTGAGCGTTTGATACTCTCAATGCTATTTGTTAGCATCTGCCCAATGAAATATCATTCTTGCACTCCGTTGCTCTCAGGGTTTTGCACCTGGCAAGACTCTTGAACAAGTAACTGCTTACTGAAAAGGCTGACATTCCTGAGCACTTGCCTTTTCACCTATGATGTTTTAAATGACCAAACGTTATCCTTGTGGGAACTGTGTGGTTGTGCCATTGACTTTTGCTTTGGCCGTAGTGGTGAAAACCTTAGTCCTTAGGAGGAAGGGGGATATTTATAGTCGTGTTTAATTCAGTGAGCATTCTGTTTTCTTTCTGTATGAGTTACCATCCTATGGCATCCATTTTCTTCTCGGTTAACCATCTCAGTTGCTCATGTTCTCTTTATTCTCTGCAGGCTTTCCTTCTCTTCCTTCAGCCCGCTGCAAGTTAGGCGGACGCACTGTCCGTTCCCTATGTCTGTCTAGGGCTTTTATCTCTTTTCATTCACTTTTCTTCTTCCTTAAATGTCTCCTGATCCTAATCTAGCTTTCCTGTGATCAGTCGTTGTTGTAGAACCCTTGTGTTAACTTGTGAGCGTGTCAGTGACTTACAATAGAGGAAATCAGTCAGTCCCCACCCCGCTGTTTGTCTGCTTTTCCAGACGTCTGTCCTGTGGCTTGCTACAGAGGGTCTGTACATGTGGCCTAGGATGGGAAAGGGGCAGCATATACTGTGGGAGGAGGCCAGGCATTTTTCAAAATCCTGCAGCCTGTCTTCCCTCCTAACCCTTGCACCTCCAACTGTCATCCAGTTGGACAATCTTGCGAGTGTCTTCTCCAAAGAGAATATGTTCATCAGGGACTGTCTTGCCATGCTCAAAGTCATTCTCCCAAATAATTCTTAACCTTCACAGCTGTTCTAGGAGACAGAAAGGCACTGTTGCATGCATTTTGCATGTTTAGACAGAAGAACTTGGAGTTGTGAGTGACACAAAGAACGTTGTAGCTAGGGACCTAATGGGTCTCTGCTTCTGGGCTTGGGGAACCAACATAGGGGGAAAAAATAGTGCATTTCTGAGACCCCTTTCCAATGCATTATCTTTTTAAGAGCTTTCCCAGAGCAAGATGTTTATACAACCCCTGTGTATTTCACCTCTGACTGGCTGAATGAATACTGGGATGCTATAGCTGTGGATGATTACCGGTTTGTCTACATGGGACCTAAAGGTTCATGGTAAGGCAGCTTGGTTTCTGTCCTCCCTACATAACTCTTTTTTAAGATGAATCCTCTAGGGGATCGTCTCATTGCATTTCAGGAGAGCATCAGGCTGCAGAGACAGTGTAGCCGTGGTGCTGTACCTGAACCCAGCAAGTCTTGTTTCTTTAGGAGCTCATTTGGTTCTGGATATGAGCTGTTTTTGTATAATCAGCAAAAGTGTTTTTACACTGCTCACTGGCAGAGAGTATTTCTGTCCTTGAACTGTGGCATGGCGTGTGTGCACAGAATCTACAAAAAGTATCAGCTAGCCCTAGGTTTAGAGCAGTTGAAGCCTTGGGGATCATCAGCCTCTTCTGATCCACAGAGCCAACAGAAGCCTGGGAGGGGCACTGATGAGTTAGTCAAATATTTTGCAGGTGGAAAATTAAATCTGACATGTGTGATAAAGTTGCATTTACAAAGTTCCAATCAATTCACATCATAGAATCTCCTACCATTGAAGAATCTGTGGGACAGATTCAAAAGTAACTGATGGAGAAACACGGAGGATATAAAACACTGCAAAACTGTGTAGCTATAGTGGCCTTTTAATACTTAAAACAGTAAAAGCTAGATGCAGAAGACCACTCTTTAGGTTGAGATTTGCCTGCATAGTGAAGGTTGATTTCTGTGTATATGTCTGAAGCGGAAGTTTTTCACAGACATGAATTTATCTTGCAGATTTTAGGCACCGTCTTTACTTAAACCTTTGATTTGGTCCGCAGGACTCCGTTCCATGCTGATGTCTTCCGTTCCTATAGCTGGTCAGCCAATATTTGTGGGAGAAAAAAATGGTTGCTCTATCCTCCGGGACAGGAGGAATACCTCAAAGATCGTCATGGCAACTTGCCCTTTGATGTGACTGCACCTGGTCTTCAGGACAGCAATGTTTACCCTCGCTACACCCAAAGCCAACCCCCTGTTGAAATATTGCAGGAAGCAGGGGAAATTGTCTTCATCCCCAGTGGATGGCATCATCAGGTTTACAATCTGGTAAGATAACTGATACCAACCTTTTCGTAACACAGAGAGATAATCGGGCAGCACGCTTGAATCGGACCAAACCCGTATTGCCATAGCATGTTGTGGACATGAGAAGTTTGACTGGGCTGAACAAAAGCAGAGACAGGTTCTTGGAGGAAAGGCCATCAGTAGCTACTCAACATGATGACCAAGAGCAAACCTTGAACTCGGAAGCTCCCCAGATCATTGACCATGAGAAGCTGGGAGTGTGTACGATTGGAAGGAGCCATTTGCACCCGTTTTTCTTATTTTCCGTATGAGATTCTACTAGTCACTGAGACACAAGATGTTGAGGACAAGGTAGACTTACGCTGGGGCTGTTAATCTTGGTTTCCAAATATAACTTGTAATTGACTAATGAAAATACTAACAAAACAGTTGATCTTCATGATTCCAATCTTGTTCCTTTCTTCCCCTATCTTGTCTCATTGTTGCACCCCGCCCCCAACAAAAAATGTGCTCAGACAACGGAACTAGAGACGTTTGCCATTTTACAAAGTGAAACAAGATTTAGTTGTCCAGCAACATTAGAAAGAGCCAATCTTTCAGCATAGTAATGATGCTGGCCCCCAAAGAAGCATTTCACTTGCTGGGGAATGTGATTTTTACTTCTTTGCAGCAACAATGACTTGACAGTAGTTCTCTCACACTTTTCTAAGTAGAGTTGAATAGCTGTTTAAACGCTCTTTCTTCAGGAGGATACCGTTTCCATCAACCACAACTGGGTGAATGGCTGCAACGTGGCTATAATGTGGTGCTTCCTTCAAGATGAATTAGCAGCTGTCCAGCGGGAAATCAGTGAATGGAAGGACCCTATGGATGATTGGCACCTACAATGCCAGGTATAACAGGCAGTCAGACAGACAGCGTCATGTTATTTAGAGGGTCATGTATTTCAGGGTTGTAACGTACTACCTTATTAAAGCTGTAAGACATTCAAGTCGTTAACTTCGTACCTGGAATTAGTGCACGTTTCTGAATAAACTAGGAACTGGTGACAATTTCATTTCTCAGGAAATGAAATATTGCTTTAGTAAGGTAGTGGAAGGCTTGTGTCAGTGCATACTTGCTGTGTCAAGGAGGTTAGGATGTTGTCTGGAAAACTAACACTTCGTCTGACGTTCCTCAGTCATTGAGGTTAGCACTGGCATAAAGATTAATCCCTCATGTAGAATCTACCTTCGCCTATATAAAGTCATGCTGCTTCTTATAAGCAGCAGAACCTGTAATATCCATCATTCTCCTCCCCTGACAGGAGGAGTTTAAATTCCATTCGCTATGAAACACTGAGTCTGCCACAAGCAAAATTAAGGTGAAAGTGGCAATAGGTTCTGTTGCAAAGTGCTGTTTTCAGAAGGCATAACTAAATTGAGCAGTGTTGTACCTTGTATGCCCCTAAGCCCTTAAGCGTGAAGCAAACGTAAAGTTTATTTCTGGAAGTTGTTATTGCTGCTAGACTGATATTCTCCAAAAATAGCTTCAAAAACGTAGCCATGTAGTAGTAGCAAAACCAAGGTTGCTTTTGGGGCTAGTGAAGTTTCCAATAAGACAGAAAATTTTAGTGCCGTTAGTCATCAAGGAGTTACAAACAAGATGATTAAACTTGGTTACTTATGATTCCAGATATTGCTAGTTTGATAAAATAGTTTCTGTAATTCTTACTATAATTTTTTTTTTTCCCCCCCCTCCTTAGTTGATCATGAAGTCGTGCACGGGTATAGACTATAAGGAGTTCTACAACTTCCTCAAAGTTATTGCAGAGAACAGAATTTCTGTCTTGGAAAATGGCCTTGATGATGAAGCATTAGCAAAGAACACTCCAAAAGCTGCCATTTCCACCTTGGGCATGCTCCATGCAGTGTTTGATTTAAAGAGGACTGTGAAGGTGTTAACATCATTGAGTGCTAATGAAGATTTCAAGAAACTAGACCTGACGTCACTTTCTCCACCTCCAGAAGCATTGCTCCACCACTTGAAAGCAGCAATAGATACAGCGCTCCTCTAACTTCTATTTATTTAGTTCTCTGCAAAATGAACCTTTTACAAAATGAGTATTTATAGAAGAATGACTCCTCCCTGTTTAATAGCTGTTACAATTTAAGTACAAAGAGCCTTAATATAGTGTGGAGAGAGTACATTCATAAGACTGAATACTTTGTAAACTGCCAGCACTTGAGTATCTAGAACAATGGCACAGGGAGGAAAAAAAAAAAAAGAAAATGGCAAAACTCATATAATGTTGGCACTGTAGAGCATGATAAATTGATCCCTGCTAAGAAACATTCCAACGTTCAGGAAAGGGGAGTAAAAATTCACTGTGGAACAAGCTTTGGTCCAGCAGGGCTAAGCACTGAAATGGCAGTGGTCTGCATCATACTTCCCCCTGCTTCTGAGGGCAGCGTGTAGACACCTAACCTGCACTGCAGGCTTCAGCAGTTAGGCTCTGCTGTCTCTGGTCATGGCCTCATTGCTTTAAAAACCTGTCCTGCTTCCAACAGTAGCTCAGCCTTCTTTTTTTTTTTTTTTTTTTTTTTCTTCCACGTTACAGGATGCTAATTATTTAGCCTTCTTGAAGCCTGAGCTGGCTCAACAGCTGTAGCTTAGATATGCAGGAGCTCTCTGTTTCTTGTATAGTGGCATCCCTCTACAGCTGAAAGTCTCTGATAGCCTCAGCCTTCATCCTACCTCAGGCCCAGCAGGATTAGATTTAACATACGTGGAAGGCAGAGTCATGACAGCAAATCTACCACTAATAATTTTACCCTGTGAGCCCCTCAAGCTCAAAAAGAGAAGTGTGAATGGACTCTCTCATTGCTATACACTATTTAAAGGCACAATATTTTTATCAAGCAAAGACTTGATTAGTCAGGGATGTTGGCAAATAGCCTCATGTTATCTACTAAAAAAAGAAGCCATGCTTTTAACACACCCATGGTTTCAGAGCACAGTTTACAACCTGAATGCTACCCTTGGGCTAAAGAGCGTTTCCAGTGAAGCATCACTCTTGCTGTTACTGATTGGCAAGAAAGGCCAAAGCACAAATGGCTGCATACTGTTAACAGAGTTGCCCCTTTGGGCTCACTTGAATTATTGATCCAAAACTTTCTCACTTCTCAACCACAGAAGACCAGTAAAAGCAACTACTAACCTTATGTTTAGAAAGTGCAATAGTAGAAGTCTTTGCATTGCATTGTTTTCTAAATAATCCTGTGGAGTTTGTGCAGTGCATGCATTTTGCATGTCATATTTTGTAGTAGGTGTTCCTTCATTGTGAATAGGAAATTGTACCTGAAATTAAAATCAATACCCACAGCATGGAAGAGTAGAGTATGGAGAAAACATTTTGTAACAGCTGTAACTACATTTCCATGAGTCAACCCTCTGGCAAGGTGTTTCTTTGGACTGGGAAATGGCTAGTTTTAAGCAACTCTGAAATTAAATGGTCACAGCTGTCACTTATGGCTGCTTACATCCTCAAAGACAGGCAGATGGCACTTTTCTTCCTTACATGAAGGAGGTGATAGTTCATAGAGTTGTTACTAGGAACAATGGTTAAAGCAGACAGTCAGGATACTGACAGGAAAGTATGTTTTTTGGTCTTGTATTGCCCAGTCTCACTGCATGCTGCGCAACCAGTACTGGCACCAACCACTATGCAAAACAGCACCTTCAGCTCTGACTATGTGACACCCCTTCTTCACAAGGCCTGCTAAGTCTTAGAGCAATCAGTCCAAAACAATGGAGAAAAATTGCATGACATGAGCTTACGACTTAAGCCATGTCCTCTTTATGGAATCTGGGGAGAACAAAAGCATGAGGACTGGCTTTATTGATTTAGGTTCTCTTAACGGTTACATTAGGAAACTAATTTGGAGTTCATATTCTCCAGTCCCATGAATGATCGATCAAAGCATCAAGGGAGCCACACATGTTCTAAAGACAAGGAGGGAAGGGAAATTCTCAGAACAGTCAGAAGACAGGACGATTGAATTAAAACACAGTATGGATTGAATTAAACACAGTATGCAAGCCTAGAATCTCTCTTAAAAATTAAACAGCTTTATTTAAATAGAAAGTTACCGTAAAATATACATTAGGAACACTCTCATACGAATATATTAACTATTGTAACCAGTGTACTATTTATTAAAGCATAATACTTGTGATTATCAGGAGGAAACAGTCTGTAAAGTTTGGGGGGGGGGGGGGGTTTTTTTTTTCCCTGAAGTTACAAACCTGGACAATTTAATGTCAAACTCTATTTAAAAAAAAAAAAAGTTAAAACCTAGTTCAAAAGGGCTTTTGCTCTAATAAGCAACTCATTCTTTAGTATTTTCATCCGTTAACAGCAGGATACCAAATATCCATTTGCCCTTTAGGAAGGCATTATAAAAACCCATTTAATTCTAATCTCATTTGTATCCTACTGGTGGCAGTGGGTGGTCTGTCAGCGCAAGGCTGTGCACCTAGGAGAAGCAGTGGTTCTGCAGCCCTGGCAGTGCAGGCGGCCAGGTGTTTTGATGCGCTGCCTCACCAAGCCTTGAGCGTCCTTTGTACGGGGCACACGCGAGCCCTTACAGCGTAACGAAGCAGCGCCAGCGTGTTCAAGGTGCAAGTGCGATATCCCTGAGATTCAACAGGATTCGGCAGAGTATAAATATAAATTTACAAGTATCATAAAAATAAAGTTAGTCACTAGCAGCTTTACAGTGCAACGGAGAGGTACTGAGTTTGGCATAGTTAGGAAGAATGGAAAATTATTCTTCTTAGTGATACAGGAAAAGCCTCCTTACTCCACAGAAATGGTTGTTTAGGAGCAGGGAGAGGGCTTCGCACGTCCATGCCACGTTTCTGACGACCAGAAACAGAGTTCCACCAAAGCAATTCTTTTGGATTCATTTTACTATTCTCTGTAAAATAACCTCCCTTATGTCAGTTCACCAGTGCAAAACACACACAGCAACTGAGAGAACAGTTAACTGAGGTTTCAGGGGAAGGAGGCAGATTGCTGTTTGCGGGAAAGTGAGATAAATGTACAGAGCAAGAGAAACCTTGGCCGCTTTCCACACACAGACTTCCAAACGCAGGCTGAGGTTGCATATCAAAGGCTATTAGCCAACAGCATCTGCATGTCTGGACTTTACGATCGTAGGTAGTCTAAAAGAAAACCCAGCAAAACTTTGCTCTACCTTTATGTAAAAAAAAAATAAAATAAAATAAAAGCAGGACCAAGTTACACCAAGGGAAGAATTTCTAAGGGGAAGCTGAAGAAGAATCTCAGTGGAGACTAGCACACTCCCAATAAAACAGAAACCCTCATCTGAAAAATAGCCATTCTTCCGTTTCACAAGGAAGCCAAAACAGCAGTGACTCGATGGCTTCTTCATCCACCAGTGTTCGGTCAGCAAAGTGCAGGAAGGAGGACCCGGTCAGGTCCTGGCTCAGGGGCTGTGAGTCCCATGGCAGTTCTCTCTCTGATGGAGTCGCATCCTCTGAATGTGTTCGTAGCATGACTGGGCAAGGAACAGAAGAACTCATTAAGGATGAGGTTTTTGCAGCAAAGGTTTGGTCTCCCGCACATCTAGTGAAACTCCACTGTCGCCCTCGGCTGGGCAGAAGATTAAATCTGCACATCACAATGATAAGCATATTCTCTAGACTACAAGGAAAATAACCCGGACTAGGCATGTCAACACCCCTCTGAAACTAAGCAGGAGTTGAGAGCATCAGTGTCTCCTTACTACTTTTGTTATATCAGCAAAATACTGCCATATCCTTGTGATTTCCGAGAGAACTTTAGGTTATGACTTTCCATTCTTCTTGGCTAGATCCCTTGCAGGAGGCTTGGTCCCACTTGGAACTTCTTACAGAGCTGACAATTGTGACTGCAAAAATACTTCAGTTTCGTGCATTAGAGGGTTTCTAGTCTCATATTGACATTGGAACTCCTGCCTGTGGGAATCAGATAGATCTCACTGCCTTTGAACTTCCCCCTGTTGCATTATTGGCAGTCTCTTCTCTGCAGTAATGAAAAATCCCATGGTATCTTTGGGCAAAGGACTTTTTTCACCTCTACTGTTTAAGAAAGTCTTTTCTATTGCCACTTGCAACTGTCACAGTCGAAAACCTTTCCTTACCTCCAGTGCTGTTAGCAGAAAATCATACAGCCCTCCTTGATTGGTGGGGTCCATCAAGTCTCTGATCAGATGGATTTCAGCTCCCAGGTGCTGTATTCTAAGAAAAAGAAGCAATCACAACCCTTTGAACAAATCTCTAGGCACCAGCACTTATGGGAGTATGTCTGAAATTATGGAGAGAGAGAGGCATGGATCTGGAAGTTCACCACTCTGATCTACCAGAGGCTGAGTCTTTGAGAAATCCTGTATGACTGGCTCTCAGCAAAAGCATTCAGAAATTTTCAGAAGAAAATTAAAACCCCCCCATTTCACATGCTCAGTATCTCTTATTCCCCTCCTCTGTCATCTACAGTTGAGATTACTCCCTAGCATAAAAAAAGCATCCATCCAACAGGAGTGCAACACAAGAAAAATGCTTCTGGATTTTGAGGCCCCAAGTTTAACCACTTCACCCTTTCTCGGGCACAGAGTACATCCAGAAAGTCAGTCAAGGACTTTGACTCAAACTTGCCACGAAAAAAGACACAGTTTTCATTTTATTGAATGTAAGTGGGTTCCTGCAAGTTCCAGTGAAAGAAGCACAAACGCAGCCACTCTTTGCAGAAATGTGTTACATTTACAGCTATTCCTACACAGAAAAAGCCCAATTACTAGGCGTTCAATGTTCAAGGCCTTCCCAGTCTCCAAACTGAACAACGACTTGTGAATGAAAAATAAGAGTTTTCTCAGTAGGTTACAAGGGCAAAGAGAGACTGAGCGATGTCCCTTAAAGCAGAAATCAATAGAGTCAAATCCTATTCTCTTCACTCTCAAGACAGGGCACAAACCAACCCAACAGTCTTTACTATGGCTCTTGCAAACCTCTTGACAAAGACACAAATAAGTCTAGTCTCTGCAGGAAGGGCAGCAATGAGAACAGCCAAACTATTAAACACTTCTGCTGAAAAGCCTGCCATGTATCTCCTTGCAAATACAGTTCTGGAAAAGCGTGTTAAAATGCAACCTCTAGCTTTTCATTAAAGCCATTCTGCCTGGAAACGCGGCTGGCTTTCCTCCGAGTGAGATCGCACACAGCAACGGGAATGGGAAATGAAAAGCTTCCACTTACTTAGCTCGTGATACAACATACATCAACAGCGGCAACAAGTCATCCATAGGGAGCTTGTAGTCCTTCTCAACCACCCGAGATACAGTGCTCTCTATCTCCTCGTATGTCTTCTGGAGGATCACCAGCTTTTCCCGGGGATCCACCGTGGTGCTGTCAGTGCGAAAACGACCATGTAAAAGATGCTTCCACTGCACAGCTACAGAGAAAGCAGCAGTACCAAGAAACCTCAGAGACAACCTTCACACTGAAAAAAGAGCCTGTCAGTCATCTCTCATGGCTGCACCAAAGAGGGGTCAACAAGCTGGTGCCAGGAGGCATCACCAGCGCGTAATACTGTTCAGATGGACCTTGAATCTTCCCTAGTCCAGAGCATTATTTGCTTGCCCTGGTGTCAGCCTTTTATTTTAGGCATGACTACCTTGAGTCACAGTCACTGGGATAAAAGTTAAAGAGCATGAAATGGTTCATTTTTGGCAGCTCTATCAGCAAACTGCTCTTGCAAGGCAGCAATACAGGTGTCTCATCTATAAAGTTGGTTCTTCTGCCCATAACTTCCTGCAAGGGTACACGTCTGCTGTGCTGCTTTCTCCTTAGGACAAGTCATGCTGGCTTTCATCTGGAGAGCTCCTCCAGAGACAGCATATGCAGGGAGCCCGGAGCTCCCACCTGTGGGCTCCCACCATACTTCCCTGCTCCCTTTTATTTCCTTCCCACTCACTACTCTAGCACCATCCCCTATGCAGGCCCACAAGCCAATAAGACAGGCAAAGTTTGTTAAATTGTGCTCTGCTTTGCTCCACTATCATCTCTGCACTCCACATACATTGAATAACCGTTATACAGTTGCATCTACGCGTCCAAAGCAACTCTATCATGACTTGACAGTCACAGGCCAAATTTGTTATCCACACTCCCACGAGCAAAGTCCATTTCATTTTCTGCAGGAATATCTCAGCAAAATTAAGTTTAGATATTTGTCAGTGGAGGATTGCATTTAAACACTACATATCGTCTTGACTTTTCTGGAGCAAGATATTTTCTCTGCAGAAATTACTTTTTTTTTTTTTTAACGGAAAAAAAAATCACAAACAACTTTTCTTTAAACATCTTTGCAAGCTTATTTAACCTTGCAGCCTGGGCCAGATTTGCTTTTGCTTTTGTAAAAAGGTGTAAAGTTCCAGCATTTCCCAGAATAAAGAAAATCCTGGTTGGCTCTGGTTGTTGACAGGATGTTATGGAAGGTGACTTACATCAGCTTCTGCAAGCACTCGGTAGCAGACAGGAAACACTTGTCCTTGATAAGGGAGCGCCTCTGAAAGGGAGACGGAATTATATATTTCAGGAACATCAGTAACATCCCTAGCTTAGTTTTTCTGAGTCCATTGCACCCATCCACAGTTGTCAGCGCCCCTCTGGTGAAGCTCCATCATAAGCTAGCATCGACACATAGCCCCACTCCATTTCGCTAATGTACCACAGCTAGCTCTTAGGGCTATGTCTTACCTGGTTGGTTGTCAGGGTGAGATCTTTCAGAGGCCACAGATGTCTGAAAGGAGATTACAGACAAGATTTAGAAGGCCGTTAAGTCTTAATTCCACTCTAAGTTAGTCTTGACTGGTTTTTTGCCCTCCTCATTCAAGGTGACATGAAAAGCCCTGTAGGCTCAAGGCTGAGTTCTCGCCTGTTGTTTCCTTGCTACAGGAAAAAATAATAGTTCAGACTCACTGACCTGAGCGTAGGATGCATTTCATTCATAAATGCTCCTGAAATAATCAGTGGGGAGTTCAGGCACTTTGAGGTGCGATTCATCTCACCGAGTCTAGACTGAGTCAAACTGTCTCTAGACTCTAGCTCTCCTGCTACTCCCTTGAGCTACAGATTATACTACGTTAGAAAGCATCACATGCCTCTTGAGTTCAAGTCA